CCACAGATATACGGCTATGACTGCTTTCCAATTTGATGCCCCAAGTGTTGTCATTAAGGGCTGCTAGAAAGGATAATAGAGATTCCTCATCTCCCTTCCAGATTAGAAATATGTCATCGATATACCGGCGGTAGAGCACCAGATTCTCCTCCCAGTCCTGCCTTGCATATACATGTTGATGTTCCCAAAATGACATGAACAGATTGGCATAACTGGGGGCGAATCTGGTGGCCATCGCCGTACCGCATATCTGGAGGTAAAAGTCACCCCCAAACCAAAAGTAGTTGTTGGTAAGAATCCATCTAATTCCTTCAACAATGAAGTTAATCTGTTCTTCCGGGAATTCCCCAAACTCCTCTAGAAAGAACCTAGTGGCTTGGCATCCCTGCTCATGTGAGATGATGGTATACAGCGAACTTACGTCCGCTGTTACCAAGATATAGTCCTCTTCCCATACCTGATTCTTCAAAAGATTCAGTATACTCATTGTATCCTTTAGATGGCTGGGACATCGAGGAACTGCAGACTGTAAGCATCTATCTATATAAGGAGATAGGCGACTGGATATAGACCCTGTACCGGACACTATAGGTCTTCCTGGTGGATGATCCTTATTTTTATGTATTTTTGGGAGCTGGTAAAATACTGGGGTTCTGGGGTATTGGATATCAAGGTACTTCTGTTCCTTGTTATTTAGAATACCTAACATTTTTCCATGATCTAAAAGTTGGTGATAAGTTATTTTGATATCATTGATAGGGTCCTTGGTCAATTTTTTATATGTATTAGCATCCATCAGTAGTCTTTGCCACTCTTGAACATAACTTTCCTTATTCATTAGGACCATCCCCCCTCCCTTATCGGCTGGTTTAATTACCAATGTATCGTCTTTCTTAAAATCTTTAAGAGTATCTCTTTCTTTATTATTCAGATTATATTCCCAATTCTTAGGTGCTTTCAGGTTTTTGACTTCATTCATTACCATTTTTTCAAATGTAATAATCTCCTCTGAAATTAACGAGTGGGGATAGAAAGTAGATGTTTCTCTAAGATTCGAATGAATGAAATCATCTTGAGGGCAATCGAAGGTACTGATAGAATTTTTTAGAAATTTTTTTTTGAGGCATAGCTTCCTCTTAAATTTTTGGAGATCCACATAAACATTGAATTTGTCTATAGGTTTAGACGGTGCATATTTTAGACCCTTAGACAAAAGTGCAATTTGTGTATTGGTTAATGTGCGTGTGGTAAGATTGAAAATGCCATTAGATTCTATGGATCCCATCTGCCTTGCCTTCCATTTCTGTATTGTCGTTCCTCCTCTACTTCCCCTTCTTCTAAACTCCTGGTTCTTTTCCCCCAAAATTTCATTGGTGTGTTCTTGTGTTTGTCCCTGGTGTAGGTCCCTTGAAAATCCTCCCTCCTAGGTGACCTCTCCAAGTTAATAAATCTATTTTGAAGAGGAATGGACAATATTGGGTGATGATTGATTAACTGTTGGGGATTGGTAGTGGAGTGATGGTGTAAAGGTCTACTTCATTCCTTTCTCCTTACCACTCTTTCTGGAGTATGAATGTTGGAATGTGCATAGGGATACTTTCCCTTAGAGTGATCTCTAACCTTAGTATTATATCTAGGTCTCAAATCTCTATTTGCATTAGCGTGTCTTGCATACGGTTGTTGTAATGAGTTGGAACTATGGGATTGGTATCCCCTATCTATCTGTCTATATCTACCTTCTTGCTCATTACGATCCTCATTCCTATATCTGGATTGTATTTTGAACTTGTGAGCTCCGTCTCAAGCAGCCATCACTAGCACGCTCAGACACCAGCGAGGGCGAAATATGGGCCGCACAATACGCCCAGAGGGCACCCAGACACCCAGGAGCGTCCCCACCAATTCCCAGGCGGGCCCCATGGACGGCTACCTGCAAACCCCAGCAGCCGCGCCGCACTAGCAAGTAGGCCCAGAACGGTCCGGCTCCCCGCCCTGCGCACGGCCCCTTGAGCCCTAAACTCCCACGCTCGCGTATATCAGCGCGGACATCAGGGCGCTGGCGTCCCAGATGGTCACTAAAAGTGACCTCCAGGTCCTATCAGACGACCTCCATGCCGCAATCCGTTTTGAGGTGGTGGCCCTGCGGTCAGAGATCACAGCACAGGACGGCAGACTCCAAAACCTGGAGGAAACAGTGAGAGAGGCGACGGAGAGAGCGGGGACCAACACCACTGCGACCACAAGACAGGGGCACATGCTACTGGCCCTCCGACGCCAGACAGAGGACCCATAGCTCCAGACCGCTATGGAGGTTCCGCGGTGCAGACGTGGCCTTATTCCAAGACCTATCACCGCTCACACTCGATGCCCGCAGGGCCCTATGCCCCATCATATCACTACTCAGAGAGAGGAACATCCCCTACAAATGGGGGTTCCCCTTTGCCCTGCTTGCAAGACACCAAAATGAGTGGGTGCCCTTGCGCTGGCCGGAAGAGGGCTCAGGTTTTTTACGGCCTACCACCCACTGAAATAGCGGATTGGATTCTTGGACCTTTGGAGCAGAGACCTGGACCCCACACGCCACGACAACAGCGCCGCCGCATGGAGGAGCCGGCAAGACGTCCCAATGCCCGCAGACGCCTGGACCCAGCAGAACCCGAGGAGTAGAGTCAGATGTGAGTCCCCCCCCGATACAACCACCCCCCCTTGAGAGACTGCAGACAACCCTACATTCCCGGGAAACAACTGGATACCAGACGGCTGCAACTACCGCCAAGATCCCAGATAAGTGATAACCTATACACTAACTACACCGCATGCACTGATCAAAGGGCGTAAAGATAGGGGTTAAAGACGGTGATATAAGCCTCCTGAACTTAAAAGGTCTAGGCTGCATTTGGGGTGGGGGGACTATTGGTAGGGGGGGAAGGCGCAAGACATGGACCCTGCTCACACCGGAGGAAACTGGGTCAAGGACTAAAGTAGCTATTGCTCTGATGTTTTAATGATTTTAATGGTTTAAAGTTCTAAGGTTTGAAGTTTACATGATTTGCTCAGACACACATTAGGGGAATACGCAAAGATCCCATGCACCCCCGCTGCTGAACCCCAGAACACTAGGATGGCGACAACACACCGCTAATAGGCCAGCCAAAATCCCTAGTCTGTCGATGTATGGGTACTGATGACTCGACAAGTAACTAAAATTTATCTCGCAACTCCATAATCCGGTTGACATGATACCACGTTGCACACTATAACATGTACGGCGCGCTGTGGTGACTGAAACCGGCTCCACAGGCAGCAATGAAGGGTGCCCCTCGCCCCCACCTGGCGCCTGGGGGGGTGGGGAAGGCCTAGCGGCGGCGGTGCCTACGTGCATGACTCAATAATGTGATGTGCGGGGGGTGCGCCACCAGTGGGCCGACTGGGCCTCCCCGGTTTGTCGACAAAGGTGTACTGATAACTTAATTTGTAACCGAAGTGTGTTGTGCCAGCTGTCATAGCATCACGCTGCCTGGAATAAAGTGAGCGGCGGGGTACGGTGACCGAAAATAGCTCCACGGGCAGCAGGGGGCTGTGCTCTTCCCCCACCCCCCCCTCACCTGGGGTGGGGGGGTGGGGACCCGTTGGCGACAGTCCCTTCAAGCATGTAACAATATCTGACCCCCATGTCAACCTTACTAATAATATCCAGTGAAGACACCCCACGCCCCCCACATGAGCACACCCCAGTAGGACGAAGCAAACTCCCAGACCCCACCCTAGAGTCCCCTATGAGAGCAAAAGTAATGACAAAACATAGGGGGGAAGCTCAGGGGACGACCACTGCTGAAGCACCTAAGGACGGAATGGACTAGGGTGGTGAGGGGAAGACAGAGGGAGCAGGGGACTGGCAAGGATGGGAACCACAAAATAAAGTAGGGGAAGGGGAAGCTCTTACAAGAGGGGACATCGCGGTTACGAGACCCAATGCAACATAAAGAAGGGGAGTGACTTAGGAGACGGGACACTATAACCGCAGAAACACCAAACCTACACAGCCAGGCACAACCAGCAAAAAGACCGCACACGCAGGGGGACCCACGCAACATCCCGAGACTGGACCACCCACAAACAATCACTAAGGCCAGGCAACCCCACCCAAAAGCTGCATTCCGAATCACTATTACCATTACAGTGGGGCACCGCCATACGGACTGCTCACATGCGCCCATACTAAACCCTCAAGACCACCACACTGAGCCTTAGCGTTCAACATGCAACCAATCACCAATGAGACGGATAGCCCACGAGATGGGTACACTTGGACCAACCCCTCCACTCAAACACGCCACCACAACTCCGGTGGTATATGATATAAACGGGAGACCACGACCCCGACCTACACCTGTGTAGACACAGACCACCGAGGGGAACACTGCCTTGCTGCCCTAGTTAACACTAAGTGGCGGTTCGGCATTGCCATCCAACTCGGTTACACAGGTACCTTATCCCTACAGGTACTAATACCCCAGACATCCACGAAACAAAACAGACAACAGCACACAAGCCCATAACAAGCCCTATCTCACTGCACAACCGCGGGACGCGGCCACGGGAACTCCGAGGTAACCCTCTCTACATTCCTACCAAACCCTAAACCACCCTCTACTACCCGCCCCTGCCCTTAACCCATACCTGGGCCCCCATCCCCGCCCATACAGAATAACACAACCCACCCACATCAAATGGCATACACACCCGCACCATTCCACATAATCACACAAAACTGCAGTGGTCTGAACGCACCCGAAAAAAGGTCTCACCTCCAACAAGACTTAAAACGCCGCCGAGCGTTGATTGCCCTGCTACAGGAAACGCACCTCAG